TTTTTATCAAAAATAAAAAAATTAAAAATAATTTAAATAATTCAATAATAATTATTTTAAGAGATTCATAATCTAATTTTGTGGCTTGATTAATAAAAAAAGATAGAGAAGAAGAAATCTTGTTTCATTTTTTCCATTAGGTAGCGAAACGCCATTTGATTGAATTGTCCGAAACGTTTCTGGGAACTGGGAACAAATTCATTTCGCAAATCCTCGAAATAAAAAGTCTAAATGCCCAAAAAGCCCAATCTAGCTAATTCCCAACATCCTTCACTCCCAGGTGAAACCCAATCTCTAGCTCACTCTCTTGGGCAATTGATCCCAATTTCCCTAGATTCCCAATCCTAACGTTGGGATCTTCTACCAGGTACGTGGGTTCCTTTCTAAATCCGTCTATTCAATGCTTGATTTCACGCTTTTTGGCCATTCAAATCGACCTAGTTTTGATGTCGCTCAATGTGTGATCTTTGATTGTGTTGATAGCTCCTCTTTTTGAGTTTAGTTTGAGAGTTTCTGAGTCTTAATATAAGTTGGCTTAGATCTAACTTTTGCTACATGAAATTTGTTTTTTCTTGTTTTCAATTTCATTGTTTGCCTATGTATTGTTTCAAGCATTATTGAGAATGATGGGATTATTCAATCACCAAATTTCGTCAAGTTTAAGTTGCAAGTAATGCTTATATGAGAAAGTCCCTTGTGATTTTTGGTCTTGCAAGTCATTTAAATGGCAATAATGGATGATTGGATTGTTATTTGGTAGTTGTTTTCAAAAACCTTCCACTCCAACAGATAAATTTATAGCAAAACTTGTGAAATTACCAATTGAATACTAACATCTTTTGGTTACATTGTTGTTAACTGCTTTATAGAACTCGTGAGGAGGAGTACTTACTAGATCTACAAAGGGTTTAAGGGCCACAATTTGTGTTTTTAAACTTTTGTGTCGCATTCCTTGCACAACTTCAGGTCTTTTGAAATAAAAGAGATATCACTTTTCTTCTAAGTGGACCGTTTTCTACCTAAAATTTAAATTTCAAAGGTGCATGTTCATTGAGATTCATTCATATATATATATAGTGTATCATATTGTATATATTTTATTTCTTAGTATGACTTAATTACAGTTGCCTTCATGGTATCCCTTTGTTTTTAGATGGGTATTTGATTTTTTGAGTTTTTTTTTTAATTTTTTATTAAAAAAAGTGTAAAAAAGGAGGGAAGTATAGGTTTAACGCCAAAGTTGGATTATCACCATCATTCAAATTGTTAAGACTAGTAATTTATCTATAATTTTATTTGTTCATAATTTTTTCTTAAATTATTAGTATGATATTTAGAAATATTTATTTATAAATTAATTTTAATTTATTAAATAATAAATATTAAT